CCTATGTATGTATGGTGTTCCAGCCTACCTGTCGTTCGGATAATCCAAGGGACGTAGCTAATTCAGATTTACGACGGATTGTAATGTAGCGACTATACCGGAATTCTTTCTCCAGCTCCAAACGTTGGTGGTCCGTATACACGACGCGGTACTTGTCTTTTGTTCTCGTTTTACCTGTAAAAGAAAAAAATTTTTGAATGAATGATTAACTTCTTAAAGTTTGACAACAATACCCTTAATGTATATACCAATGCAAAACTAATTAGCCAAATTACTAATATATGTTGTTATTTTTTTTTTATTCATTTTATTTTGTGTTTGTTATATCTATATATTTTATTTATCTGATGTCAACTTGCATTTGGAGACTTTTATCTCTGTTAGTATGGAAATAAAACAAAATAATAATAATAATAATAATAATAATAATAATAAGAATGATAATGATATTAATCTAATAACAATATTATTATAGGGAATATCAATAATGAATATCGTAGGAATAAATACTTTCTTAAAATTAAGTAAAATAAAGAAAAATTAAAATGCATTATAAACTAAAATGTATAATTGAAATTATATATGAGAAGATTTAAAGACGGGGGGGGGGCTAGATTTAAAGACGGGGGGGGGGGGTCCAGAGGGCTTTGTCCTAGGGGTAAACAGTCCGGAAGAATGTTACGGGAGGTGGGAGGAAAATGTCTGGGGAACAAAATACCGGGGGAAGTGCCAGGGGTAAATGCCAACGAGCCTGAGGCCTACCCCATTTAATGACTGAGTAAATCATTAGCAATATGTTCAATCAATGCACTGGAAATTACTGAGACCTAGAAATTCAAACGTTGCCGACAATTCTTTTAACGTAACCAAAAATTCCAATATTTCATATAAACAAACATTTTATCTATCCTCTTTATACAGTAATGGAACCTTTCGAAAGAACATCAAAAAGCGCCGCGATACAGTTGTTGATTAAGATATGCCTAGGTTATGCTAATTAGCAAATTACGTCAGAAAACCGGAAAGTGAGCGATAAGCCACAAACAACCCCTTCATTTTAAAACCCAGCAAAAATGGGCCTCTTTGATTCTTGTATCTAATTAAAACGTCATGATTACAGATTGAGAATTGAATCTCTGTACTAAATAATAAGAACAACTCTGATTGGCGTTGGTATAAGCATGGAGGTCATGGTAAAGGCCTATAAACAATCGTTGTATTATAGCGGCGCACACTGACGTGTCAGGGTGTTGTCTCGTTGATGCAAATTTATTTTGAAAAGTATATTTTTCCTTTTGAAAAAAATAAAGTTTTGCTTTGTAAACCAAGATTACAATGAGACTGGGGGTCGGTTGGAATGGAATTAAGTAAACAACAAGAACTTGGCTGTCAGACAGGAATTGAACCCAGAACCTGGAGATTGGAAGGCAAGTTAATCACCAAGCTTTGCAACTCCAACGTGTACGTCCGTGTTAAGTCTAGACAATACCATAATATGGTACCATTAATTAACATTAAAAGAATTTATCAATCAATTAATCATAATAAAGCGCATTCGAGAATAATAATAATAATAATAATAATAATAGTGTAGTTTTATATATTTCTTCGCCCTAAGGGTCCCTTTGTGTCTGTGCTACCCGGTAACCCGGTACCAGCAACTGTCGTCGTCCACCACACAGGGGCTGTCTGTTCCAGTACACCGGGGTATCCCCCTACTCGTCTTGTAGGATGGGTTCTTTATAGTGCACACGAGCCATTGTATCCACTGGGCCTACGGTTTATAGTCCTTATCCGAGAAGACTTGTTCTACCACCAGTTCGAACCAGCGCCGATATTATGGCTATAGCTTGCGGCGTGCCTGCTAACCGCTCGGCCATTCGAGAAGCTAAACTCTACAATGGGTGTCGAAGCCATAAAACACATATACGTAGGCTTAATGGCGGGCACTCATCACGTCATACGACCGTCGACCGACACCGTCTGCTGATCGCCGGAGGCAGTCTTAACGGATCGTCATTAAAAACGATCCGTTGCGCAGGCGTCGTGGCGTTACGTTTTCTGTGGAACGCGTCGGCCGACGACCGTCGTGCGCAATGAGTGCCCGTAAAGGGTGGATATTCTGTGCAAAACCAAAATAATGTGTTTCATTCCTTTCCTTTTGGGTTTTCGTCGAAATCAAACGCGGTGACGTGACTAGATATTGTGTGACAATATTTAACCACGTGACTGAATATTGCGTAACATACATAGCTTAAAATACTAAGTTACCATAGTAATCAACCTGCATATTTTGAAACGACACTTTTACAACATTGGCACACGTAACGGTGCGCCGCGTCAAAGAAAAACTAAATCAAGAAAATCAAAACTTAACAAATCAAACTTTTAAAAAGAAATTAACAGAATAAACAAACAAAAACCGGACATTTATTTCGCACAAGCTCTCGACGGAAGTTGATGTCAACTTCGGAAGCCTATCAGCTCATTCATTGCAAGTTTCTGCAGAAGTGACATGCCAATATTTAAAACTACTTAAGAGATTTGCAAGCCTCATTAACGCATTTCTAGTCTAAGAAAATCCATGTAATAGTTCTGAGAACACGAGTAGGATTATCACACATGATAAGGTAAACTAATAGCTAGAGATCTGTAATTCAATTAAAAGCGAAACACTATTTCAATAAACAATTATAAAAGTAGGGCTACTTTATAATATGTATATATTTAAGCGTTATTAAAATACAGATTTCTTTTGAATGGCGTCGAACTATGACACATGTTCTTCGTTATGCATATTCTTTTCGATTCCCAAAAAAATTACGATATTCTTTCATTAGGTCCCATGGAATAGAAACTCTTTGATTCCACTATGTGTTACCATGACGTGACGCACATGCTACCATTTAAACACTATCGTTTTTATAATGCATATTATATAAACGTGTATAACTATTTGGAAAAATATTCCTCGATCTTGGTTGAGATACCGCGTCGATGGGGGTGGGGGAAGCTAAAATATCAACAATTACAGCTGGAGCCTGAGTTTCCCAAAAAAATTACGATATTCTTTCATTAGGTCCCATGGAATAGAAACTCTTTGATTCCATTATGTGTTACCGCGATGTGACGCACATGCTACCATTTAAACACTATCGTTTTTATAATGCATATTATATAAACGTGTATAACTATTTGGAAAAATATTACTCGATCTTGATTGAGATACCGCGTCAATGGGGGTGGGGGGAAGCTAAAATATTAACAAATTACAGCTGGAGCCTGAGTTCAAGTTGCTCGGTCCTCTTTCAACCCTCATGTTAACTAGACACAATGTTGCCATGAATGCTTATAGATTCAAAATAATTTTGGTGTTACTCACATATTTTCAGTTAAGCTTCACCACTAACATAGTGAGAATATGAAAATGTGTGAGTAACACCAAAATTGGATTTATAAAAACTATATATAACTATAGTTTAATAGTATACAGTATTTTTTTTAAATTAAGCTTATATAGAATCAACACAGTTAAATTATGTCGTCAAGAAATGTTAATACTGTATTTATATATTTTGAGGTATTTATTTACCATTTTACAATCGAACAAGTAGGTATGTCTATGTGTTACCGTTATTAGTGGACGTGTTGTAACTCGATGGGAACTCGATACTATACACTATTGGGTCAACATAAATCTCATAAAAATTAATAGGCCTACGGTCTCATAAAAAAGTACTAAAAATACACATCAGCATAAAAATAGCATGCATTTGTATATATATTTTCTTTTGACCAATCAGATGGAACGGTTTCAACAGCCATCGTTACACTGTAGAGATCCTTTTAGTTTGGCAGAAGTGTCAATACGTCAAAGTTTAAAAGTTCGTTATGGGTAAATAAGGTAAAGTAATAATGGTCTCATAATATTATGAACTTATTTGTATGCGATACTCGAGATGCTTAACATGAGCAATAAAAAAACATATAAAATAAAAATGGCGTGATGGAATAATGAGGGCAGTTAGGCCTAGTCTATTATTTTGATACAAGTTGTTTTGATTATAGGACTAAGTTAATTGTGATTCAACTGACACCCCATACATTGCTACATAAATGAGATAATATAACCAATACTAATTGAAAGCTATTCTAAAATGAAAATATTTTTAACAAAGATGAATATTTGTAATCTAGGGTGTCATATTTAAAAGTAATTCGAAGTTATTAAGAAACATAGATGAATATTTGTACTTAAGATTGTCTAAAATGTTTAACCATTTTCGCAAATATAAAGTTCTATTGGGTAAAGTTTTACTTATAGGCCTATGCTATCCAGCACTGGCTGATATTTATTTTTTTTTTTTAATATCTTTATTATTCTAATTAGAGACCAAAGCTGCTAAAGACCATGAAAACCCCGATCCCAAAGTGTTATTTAATTGGAGGGAGACCTGCAAATTGAATAATAAAAGTACTTTTATAATAAGCTATTTTATCTTTTATCAAAACTTTGGTTAATTGATATGAAGTTAAATACTGTTGTTTTGATACATGATGGAATACTGTAACATTTTGAGAATGCATTATCTTGAAAAAAAAAAAAAGATAAACAGTGGCCTTATTTAGAGCATCCGAAAAGCAGCAGGCCTATAACCACAGACATCAACATAGGCCTATGCTATTATTATGTCTAAACACTGAATCAGTACTTTAAACTTGGTCATTTAAAATTCATAATTCATAATTCATAATTCTATTTCACTCAAAACATAATAATGAGTCTGGTAGGCAAAAAGGGAACATGTCCCTGTAAAAGATGTCTACCAGAGAAACATTGATAAAAGCAAAAACATAATAATAATAATAATAATAATAATAATAATAATAACAATAACAATAACAATTATAAAAATAACAATAACAATAATAATAATAATAACAAGAAAAATTATATATATAAAAAAATATATATATAAAAATAATAATATAATAACAATAAGAATAAAAGTAATAATGAAGATTAAAAAAAAGCATTAAAGTCAATTCAGTTAGTTATTAAAACATGATTTATTGGGCAGAACTGTCATGAAGGTGTTGTATTTAATAATGATATTCTAAAAGATTTACTTGTAGAAGACATACGTATTGAAATAGGGAGATTGTTCCAAGTGGTTGGTGTACAGTGAAAAAATGAGTTGTGAAGTGCATTACATCGGGCATGAGGAAGATAGAGCGTTGGGTGCGGTTTACGGGTATTAAATGAAATATAACTATGGGAGTCGATTTTGATTTTATTATTAATTATTTTATACATGAAGATGAGACTAAGAAATATTCTTCTGTGTTCTAATGAAGTAAGATTAAGTCGGGCAAGTCGGTCTTCATAGTTGATATATGCAGTATTGGTTGGATGGCGAGCAGAATTCAAGAGAAATCGGGTAAAGTTTCTTTGGACAAATTCAATATGCGTAATGTTGATTTGAAGATGGGGGTTCCAGACGACAAATGAGTATTCAAGTATTGGCTTAACAAGGGAATTGAACAAAATTAACGAAAGGGGGTGACGATTACAAGTACGTTTAATAAAATAAAGGGTATGGAAGGCTTTGGAGACAATATTTCCGATATGAGTGTGCCATTTTAGATTGGAAGAAAAAGAAACGCCAAGGTATTTGTGGGAGGATACATAATCTAAAGGTGAATTCTGAACAAGGTAACTGGGATATGGGGCATTAATTAAGATAGTATTAATTTAATCAACTGCATAATTAAACGAGTATCTCAACAACTTATGTTTTCTTTTTTAGTGCGGCATTATGTGTGTGCAAAAAGTTACAGCAGCATAGTACTACCCTACAGCGAAATTAAAGATTAAAAGTTTCTGACTAGAATTTATTAACAACAAAATCTTCCAAGGATAAAGTACAGTGCTAAGTGTATGCTTACCTATAGTAAACCTAGCATAATTTTTAATGTTTTGAAAAATGTAGACGGGTTTTTGCCAAGAAAAATTCATGTTGCACTTTTTCTATGAAGTAATAAAACACAGAAGTCTCAGAAATTCAACTTTCACTAAATCATAATCATAATTATTATTATTTAATTTCTATTTGGGATTGCCCTTCTACGTTCGTTACTTGAAGGTATGTTTACTAGACGCTAATATAAAAGCTTTGTTCACCGTTTAAATTCTTTTGTAACATTCTGTTATTTTTCCATAAATGGACATGAGACTATCATCATGGAAGTAAAAAAAATCATCACACCCATATTAAGTAAATCAAAGCAGTAAATTATAGTTTTCAACGTCCAGTGCATAGCGATAAATTTCGAAAACTTAAGTTTTAAAACGCTCAAAATAAAATCTTTATTCACAAATAAATGTTCTTTCAATAGATGAACAACAACCTATACAGACCTTCGTCCAAGACCACCTCAAATTATAAAGACCACATTCTGTAGCACAGAGACGGACAACTTTTCTACCAAAAATGTATTTTCTAATTAGAGACCAAAGATGCAAAGGAACATAAAACGAACCGATCTTAAGTAATCCGAACTTAGTAGAAGACTTGTATTTGCATATATATTTACTTTGGTGCTTATTTTATATTTTATATTTTGACGTTTTTTATTTTGATATCTGTATGTCTGAGGACAATGTATCTAATACCTTCTTCTTTTGTTTTTATAATAGAAAGCCTAGCATCTGATTTTTAAGTTTTAGTAATTAAAAAACAAACTGGCTGTCTTAGAGCAAACCAGCCGAAATGAATAAAACTTAGTATCATTATGTGACATAACTGAAATATATAAGCGGAGAGCATCTTTACTTCTTTATAATCAGAAGCAATCTATACATTATATTTCTTTTGTTATCGTGTTTATCATTTGTAAATTGTTTTACCTGGAAAAGGTATTGGAATAAATCTGAGCTTTAACGTACTCTACAGCTAAGTCAAGTCCATGCTAGTAATTTATATGAACACCGCCCTAATCGTTCTTTAATTTGAACAATTCGTGTGGAAGGCAATCTGAAACATGATAAACTCGTTGTTCCTCTATTCAAAGAGGAAGCAAGTTCAAAATCATTCTTCTACTAGCAAGTATTCATTTATTTTAAATCGCTTAAGTAATATTATTTATATAATATCTCTATTATATATTCACACTTGTATTTGAGAAAAGTTTTTGATCTTTAATACATCTGATTTGATCAATCATAGAGAAGCAAATAAATCTTTCTCTGCTCATACAGTACTGTTTTTTCTAAATACTTACCTGATTGGTATATTATTTGAGATCATGATTGTTATGATTCCTACTTAACACTTTGCAAAAGTATTATATCCAATTCCATTCCAACAAAAACAAAAAACTCAACCCAATCTGTGTCAATAAAATCCATCTTGATATAAGGGTACTTTAACTTTGCAGTTTTCTCTTTGCGAAATATCTCAGTAAAGAATTACTATGTACGTGGCCATAGATAGATGTGCAGGACTTGCTTTATGTTGTACAGATACTAAGTGTGAGCCAATCATTCACTCCGTTGTATTTAACTACCAATAAATGGAGACGTATATAGTAGTTCTTATAAATGATATTACGCACTTTACTTAGTTTTTATAATGGTGGTTTAAGTTTTTATATGCATCATTCGTAACCATAAGATTTACAATCTGTTATTATAGTGATGGGACGTTTTACTGTCACGGAAGCAAACTATCGAGACTCTTAATAAGCAATAAAGCAATTTGCACCAACCTTAGCTTTACAGGTGTACTTATTTAATTTACATAACACGCGCGCGCAAATCAACAATTTATAATACATATTATATATACATTATATATTTTATATTTACATGAAGATACATTCACTTTAGGTATAAGTTATAATACAATGTAAATGTGTAAGAAAAGTGTAAGAAAAAATATACCTGTAGATGGATTGAATCTATATGTTGAAGAGCGCATCCACTGATGACTCATCACATTTGGTACGCGATTGATGGCCTGGACGACGTTGCAAAGACCGGAATATTCTTCAGTTTCACTATACTGTGCCATGCTGTTTGTTTGTTGGTTTGTTGCTTGCATGTAGGATCCCATGCTAACTTGTCCTTGCCAATCCAACATGGCAGACGATGAACCCGATGTCGGGGTCCAAGTCGACATAAGCTGCTGTTGAGGTGATCCAGGTTCTGTGTTCGTCGTATAATGTGAGAAATCGGAACCAGGGTACTGAGCTTGCTGAGCAATGCCGTAGTTACCAGTAGAGTAGAAACTTCCCTGCGGGCGAAACATGTCGTCCTCAGTGGCGGCGAAGTGCCCGTGTTGTTCGTCGTCAATAGAAGGGTAGTAGTCCAGTAACATAATGGTCAGAGTGCAACTTTCTCGGCGTTGTATTGAGTTGCGATTGGGATAGTGTCAGTTATGGCAGTAATAATTCTTGAGCATTGACTTTAACGACCACTTGGCAATTGAAAATTGTGTACAAACTCAGTCAGTCGGTTCCTGCACAGTGATTCATAAGTGTTTGCTTGAAAAATCGTAAAAGTAGTACTCAAATATTTGGGGCGCTCCCTCCTCCTGTCTCGCTTATTTTGAAACTTCTCTTTGCGTCAAAAACATGTAGTAAGCGTTCGTAACAAATCTCGTCGAATATCGGGTTCACGGGTTTATCCTCTGTTAAATAATTATGCAAATCTATAGTATTTGCTTAACAATGGAAGACGGTAGAAGATGAAACGCGCCGCCGATTGAACTACTAAAGCACACTATCATCAACTAATTAGTCTCATCGTAGAGAGCGAAAGTAAACAAACTCAAACCACATGCTGAAGAAACTCACCGACAACGAACTTTACCGAAACAGGTTTATGGATTTTCTAAATTTTGCTTTTTAGTCTAAGTAAACTAAGAAACAAAACCGGTTAACGCGCCTGATCTTTTCCACTACTAGACCAACGAGTCTAGAAATATCAACAATGTTTTTAAGAGAATACTAGATTGAGATGAAATACCAAACACTCAAATTTATTGTTTGGGAAAACTCCTCGCGCCTAGCGACCGCTTGTTTGCGTTGCTCTCCCTTTCGGCGTAAATTTGTAAGTTATGATGGCGCAGACGTAGAGCAATAGGAAGCCGAGTTTGACGTTTTAATCCAGCAGACGATCGTTCACCGAACTGTATGCGTACACCACAGCTATTATTTGTCAACAAGCAATGGTCAACACAAAGTACACCGTTTGAACTTCGCCGCTTGGTAAATACAATCACCTTTGTCGGAGATACTGGGACATGATAACACAAAGGCGGTTGGAATCCAGTAGAGTGATTTCGGGAACTAAACGGATACAATGTCCGAGACGAACTGTGTAATTATCATCAATGATTTAATCTAATTGGCTAATTGGAGCTACTATTCGAGAGGTCAATCAAAAGTTATTTGAATAAGTACAATTCACTTGGATAGATATTTTTTATGAATGAAGGTTGGATGACATATTACCTACTTCGTATTCGTTTCTCGAAGCAATGAGTTCCAAGTTCGATTCTGTGCGATCAGTGCTCGAAATCGAACTTATTACTATAATAACTCGAAATACAAAGTTCAGCACTCAGTAGCTCCAAGTGCAGTGACAGATTGGCGGGAACTGAAACAATAGGTAGCTTTCGATTGCACAACGACGGTAGGACGTAGAACGTAATGACGTCACTAAAAGTCATCTGCGCATGCGAAAACTTTAAGTTCTCCTCGTCGTGTGGATTCCAAATCTACGTATGCATAGAACGTAAGGCTATGTTCACATACACGGCGTAACACTGGCGTGGCTTACGCCAGGCGTAAGCTAATCCCCGGATTAAAATTCCAAAGTGTTCACACAAACGGCGTTCGTTAAACTAGCAGTAATATAGGCATGTGGAATAGTTTTCAGTTTTGAATAATGTACGTGTTGACAGTAGTAAAGTTAACAGTGCATCATGAAAACTTTTAAATCTGTGAATTGTTCGAAGTGAACTTATATGACTATTGTATTTTAAATGAACAATTTTACTTTTGATTTTTCAGCTAGCATTGATGATGTTGCATGTTTTAATAGACAGTCTAAATGGTTAAAATATCTTACCAGACACAATCAATAAATCATATACATTATAACTAAGTAAAATGCAATAGAAAAGGAACCCCTTTATCATTTCCTTTATAGAGAGCACAGAAAAGAGACCAAAGTAGCTAATATATTGCAATCGTGATTGGTCAATCTCTTGAAAAGAGGTCAAATCATTCAAGCATCACTGGCGTTAGCTCAGTGGCGTTAGCTAATCTGGGGGCTACAGGTAGCGTTAATAACGCCAAGGACGTGGCGTAGTGAGTGGCTTTAGCAACGCCACTGCCTAGTTCACACACAAAGGCGTACGCTACGCCATGCTTAAGCCAGCCTTACGCCGTGTGTGTGAACATAGCCTAAGACGCCAGACAGAACGTTCACGCATGAGTGATTCCGTTCTAGCGTCCCGTCGTCGCACAAATCGAAAGCTCCCTACTGCTGAAATGCAATATGCAAAAAGAAAGTATGTTACACTAATGATGTAATATTCTTGTACTACATACACATTGTTTTAACATAGAGTTCAGTACAAATAAATGAATATTGCGATCAATGCTCAAATGATATAATTAATCTATTATTGGGGGACACTCACAATTATCAACATTTCACGAGTTTTCAAATTACACGCTTGGGGTAGTATAGTTGATAGATGTCTTATACACATTTGCAATTTTTTTTTATGTATATGATTTTTAAGATGGTGCAGTGACGTATCCAGAATGGTTAGCCATGGGAGCCTGGGATCCTCGGTTTCCCCACTTATTTGTCAAAAGATTATCAAATTCTTAATAGGAAGTGTCTTTTATAATATTAATTAATATTGTAGCCATATCCTGATGGTCAAACACTGTCTCTTATACACATCTAGATGTGTATAAGAGACAGGTATGTATGTATGTATGTATTATTCCTGTAGGTTATTATTTTTATGTTTATGTGTCATATCATAAATCATAAATGAAATGATTAAGTTTGGAAATACAAACCAGTCATAAATTAAATACTTTGCGGCTTGTTTTTTATAGGAAATAATAATTTCTTGTTTACATTTGCGGTTTACATGTTATGACATCTGAGGTAAAAATGGAAATGTTTATATTTGTAGGCGAAATGTTTTTTCATTTTTTGTTAATCCGATTTTTTACACACATGTGGGCGATTTGGTTTCTTTTTTTCTTTTTTTTTTTGCATTTGTGGTTATTTACATTATGGATGACATGTTATAACATATGAGGTTATTTTGACATTTACAGGTACAATGTTTTACATTTGTGGTTATTTTTACTTTTGTGGTGTATTTTGAGTGTTGTGAGCCCTACAGGGGGATCCCCGTCTGAGGACCGCAATCGCACAAATCATACTGAAGCTTTTGACATCTGGAGTGATGTCGGCACCGAGTTACTTTTTATCATCATGACCGCTCAAGTTAAATAACCTCGTTCAACCATAGAGAAAATAGAACAGTTCTATGTTCTATTTTCTCTATGGTTCAACATATCTGCACATCATGTGCTTAGAGCGCATATAAAGCATGATATATCATGAAGAGGGCGCTATATAAATGTGGTAAGTAATAAATTTAATAATGTAACGACTAAAATAATAATAATAATAATAATAATAATAATAATAATAATAATAATAATAAATATACCGCCAATTCAAAATTTATTTAAGGCGCTAAATTCAGTTCAGTTTTCTTTATTCGCAAATTTTATTTAAAAAAATGCACAATACATACAAATTCAGAAACACAAGCGCAAACGCTTAAGCAAGTCAGAGTAATACAATACAAGAAAAATACATAGAAATATAAATAATGCATCAAAATACGAGACAAATAATAAGGCATGTTAACATTCATGTAATAAATATTTTTTTTTTATTTTTTTGCAAGAAAGTAGGCGAATCGCCAGGGGTGGATCCAGAGGGGGATATGAGGACCCGTGTCCCCACCCACCGTCAGTCAAGCCGAAAAATAAAAAATATTAAGAAAAATGTGAGTTAAAGAGAGGAAAGAGGAGAAAATGGAGTGCATATGAGTTCAGTGGCGATCCAGCAGTGGGCGAATGGAGAGCGCGATTATTTACCGCTTATCTTCACCAATCGTGGTGGGGCTGAGGTGGGCGTGTCGTTGACATCTTATTATGCCCCCCCCCCGTCAGAAAATCTCTGGATCCGCCCCTGATCGCGAACTGAAAGCGGGGGAAAATTCCATGTAAAAAAGGGGCTTGAAAAGGTACGTTGACCATACGTTTTTGTTTTGTACTTACGAGACGGAACTGTCAAGAGATTTTTAGATGAAGAACGAAGATGTTGAAGAGGAACATAGTGGGTAAGTTGATTTAGTAAAAAGATAAGTTGATGAAGGCTGAGTGACTTGAAAGTCAACAAAAAAAGTTACTTCAAAATAGCACGTAGTTTTATACTGAGCCAGTGTAGATATTTATGTGGACTACCGTACTTTTCTTGGATAAATTCCAACTGTTCACCTTTTGGCGGGACTGTCCCGCTTTTGTTATTTGGGTTCTGCTGTCCACCCCACTCTCTATATTTTCTTAATTTTTGACAATAATAGCAGCAATAATATAACCAAAACATTGGTATTGCCAAGCTCTGGTATTACTATTTTGGTCGATAAAAAACAGCAAGGTAACGCACAAGGTTTGATTTTTTTTTTAATTATTTAGTTGGAACAGAGCCACAAAATGTAGCATTATTTAAAACCAGAACATAAAAGCAACACGAGCCACCAAGTTGCTTCTCTCCGCATGTTTATATTCATTTATTTTTATTATTTTTATTATTATTATTATTATTATTATTATTATTATTATTATTATTATTATTATTATTATTATTATTATTAATATTATTATTATTATTAATATTATTATTAATATTATTATTATTATTATTATCATTATTGTTATTACTATTATTATTATTATTATTATTATCGTCATCGTTTGATATTCATTATTATCATCATCATCATTATGATTTTATAATTATCGTCATCGTTTGATATTTCCGTTGCCACTGAAATTGCCATAGTTTTCAGTTTTGATTTTATTTATTATTAAATATATTTAGGCAGGATACATGCAGACGAGAAGGTAAACGCTTTTTAAAATGCCTTAGCAACAACAATATACACCATTAATTTACAAGAAGATAATCAACTATCAATATAAGGAACATGAAAATATCATTATATTATAGAAATATTTTTGACAATAATAGCAGCAATAATATAACCAAAACATTGGTATTGCCAAGCTCTGGTATTACTATTTTGGTCGATAAAAAACAGCAAGGTAACGCACAAGGTTTTATTTTTTTTTAATTATTTAGTTGGAACAGAGCCACAAAATGTAGCATTATTTAAAACCAGAACATAAAAGCAACACGAGCCACCAAGTTGCTTCTCTCCGCATGTTTAAATTCATTTATTTTTATTATTTTTATTATTATTATTATTATTATTATTATTATTATTAATATTATTATTATTATTATTATTATTATTATTATTATTACTATTATTATTATTATTATTATTATCGTCATCGTTTGATATTCATTATCATCATCATCATTATGATGTTATAATTATCGTCATCGTTTGATATTTCCGTTGCCACTGAAATTGCCATATTTTTCAGTTTTGATTTTATTTATTATTAAATATATTTAGGCAGGATACATGCAGACGAGAAGGTAAACGCTTTTTAAAATGCCTTAGCAAACAACAATATACACCATTAATTTACAAGAAGATAATCACCTATCAATATAAGGAACATGAAAATATCATTATATTATAGAAATATTTAAAAAATAGTAATTTTGTTAATTGTCATTTTTGTTTTTGTTGTTGCTGTTATGTTGTTATCATTGTACTATTATTATACTATGATAAATATTTGTATTCTTATTATGCACATTAATATTATTAATATTACTACAACTATCATTATTAATATTATTACTATAATTAGTAAAACTATTAAATAACTAATGATATTACTACAATATTACAACCATTATTGTTATTAATATTATTATTATTATTATTATTATTATTATTATTATTATTATAATCATCATCATCGTCATTATCATCATTATTATTACTATTATCAATATCATCATCCCCATTATTTATCTTAAAGTTCTGTATGCTGAATGGCTTTCGCATGTTTTCCCTTTATTTGAAAAATTAACACCAAAATTATCTTGTCCTAACAGTAAACTAGGTTCAGTTCATCGAAGCTATATAGTCTCAAGCTAAGTTTCTACAGGTCCCTGGAAAACATACAAGGGAGTTCACCTACATGAGCATAACGTTTACTAGTCTTTGTATTTCCGCATTCTTACACTAAGCAAAATAGTATAAATACAGCAATGGACGAACTCCGAAAAGAGCAGATTTCAGTACACCTCAACCGACGGCAACACATCAAGACTCAATCGATATACCTGTAGTACGGTAAGTTTACTATCTTTTTTGAAATAATTGGACAATTGAATAAGTTTAACATTTTGAAAGTTTTGACACTTCTGGGCCTGTATATAGGCCCCCTTTTTCTGCATAAGCCTACTTATTCCGTAATATCCGTTAGGCCCCCTTTTTCTGCATAAGCCTACTTATTCCGTAATATCCGTTGAACTCGTTAATACTGCTATTTAATAAAAAATATTTTTTTTTTAAAAAGCCAGTGCTTTACTCTGTTGCGGTGAATGTAATCTCTACTTTCGTTTCTACATGGTTAAAGTAAAATTGTATTATTTTGCACGTGGTTATGTAGGCCTACGTATATCTAATTGGCGGCGTTATACAGAGGATAGGAATATTTTTGATGAAGGGACATGCTATTGTTAGCTTATTGTAGTTAATACTATCATCATCATCATCATTATCATCATCACCATCATCATCATCATCATTATCATCATCGTCGTCGTCGTCATTATAGTAATACAGTAGTAATGGGGTGTCATACATGTTTGATATGATAATCTCATATAATCCGTCTTATTTTATATTCTTATGTATCTTGTTTCTATAAGTTTTTGTTTGAAATATTTGAATTAATTATATAGTAATGTAGGCCAATAGTGTTATATTCTGAATTTCTGTCCTAATGTTAAGGCTGGAGTGCGCACTCACTACTCATTACTTAAAAAGTATGAACGAATTAGACTTGTTCCAAGTCACTATTTCAATTCGTACAGCCGAGCGAAAACAAAAATATATGGTACGTGTATATACTAAGGCAAGTAAGCGCCCGGGCTAATTCAAACGGGGCGCTTATGAAAAAAAAATGGAAATTAAGGGGGCGCTTATGGAAATAAGATGACTCATGGAGAGGGTTCTTATGGGAACTTGCAAGGATGCTTTTTGAATGATAAAAAAGATTATAAGGGCATGTGGAAAACGAAGATAAACGAATGGTTCTAATGCAGAAAAGATAATCGTCCAAAGAGTAAGGCTCATAGAATATTTACACAACAGCAGTTGAAATTAGTTAAGCTAAACATTTTATGTCTAAATTGTGCGTTTCTTTTTTTTTATGCCTTTTTTTTAAAGGTTACTTCATTGTTTGTAAAACTGGTTACTTTGGATGCACCGCTTTTTGTTGGCTTTTTTTGTGTATGCCACCGATCTCATTACTATTTACTACATGATCTTATAATTATTCATTCTAATTGTCCGAAATATATCAATTTTAATTCCTCTCCATAATTCCATAAATAATGTATCTTAATAAGCAATTTTTCATTGACATGGTACCACTTTTGACATTTGTTTGTCTTTCATTCTTGATTCTAAATTTATTTTATATGTTGCTTTTGTTTTATATACAGGTTTGTGATTTTTATTGACCTGTTTATCAATTACGTTAATTAATTTTCTCGGTTTTGTTTAGCATTAAGTTAAACATATTATTTCTATTTGTGTTTCTTTATTCGCCGACTTTCAAATTTACTTCACTGTCTGTAAAAATCGTTAATTTGGATGCACCATTGTTATTGTTGTGTGTGCCACTGATCTTAAGGTGTTATTCCTATTAAATTGATTGATTGATTGATTGATTGATTGATTGATTGATTGATAGTGGTATTGGTGGAGGTGTTAAGCTTGTTGGCCATTTGTCGAATGAGATTAGCAGTATCATTGCAGGGTTTATTGCAAAATCAAATGAGAACGTGCTAAATAAACGTGCAAATTGTCGGGAAAAGAAAAATAAAAGTAGGACTTAAGAAGTAAATTTGAATCCACTCTACACAGCTCAAATCATGCCGACCATAGTCTCAGAAATGATAGGATTATTGGCTTGCTAAAAAATATTACATGAAATTGTTGAGGGGTGCTTATTCAAACGGGGTGCTTAGGAACATTTTCACGTTAGGAGGGGTGCTTATTCAAACGGGGTGCTTTATTCGCGCGAGTACGGTTGTTTGAAACGAGATCATACTTCGCTGGTGGCACTGTCTGGTCTGTTCTGATTTACATCATGAAATAAAAAACGGCCTAGAAACTAGACTATGGAATAAACATTCTAGAATAGATACCGGTAACATAGAATAGGTATTGCAAATAATCATCAGTAGGATAAATATAATAAAAATATTTATGATTCTAACAACATAGATTGTTTATTTCAATAGACCATATTATCGAGCATAAAATTACACATATGTCATATGATATGTTCACAGGACTAGGTTTATTACTACAGTATTTCATTAATATGTAAATCATTATTGTATTTCAATGAATATAAAATCGAATAAAAGAAGAAAGTAGAGAAGGATGGATAGGAAAGAAATTCATCGGAGCAGCTTAATAGTATTTTCCAAAAAATATGCAAAATATTCATAAATTATTTATTATATTCTGTTTGTAATAAATTTAGGGCACTTATAATCAGAAGTCAAGTGTGCCAAGCCTATCACGTTTCATAATTCTATATCGAAAGTTTTTTTGGTTTTTTTTTATAGATCAAAAATGGACACAGTAAAACAATTAGTGGTTATTTGCATCTCACTTGGTTGTGTGTATGGTGCGCCAGCAACGGGTAACCTGGATGTTGAGAGTTTTCAACACAAGGTGAGGACCAGTATGACACATCAAAGATACTAGAAATACAAGATAGAGTTCTCCACACAAAAAAAGTGTTCCACCGTGTTCCACCGAAATGCATGGTGGGAATGCGAAAAATGGGACGCCCCATACAGCTGGATCTAAAAAAACTTGTGCCAAACTTTCGTTACCAAGTCGTGGCGTATTTTATTATTTAATTCTCACCAAAGATACTAGATATAAAAACAAACTGGAATAGACACCCAGACCGTGACATCGGTGAATACATAACCTCCTTGGTGGCGGTAGAAATCGTTGCTATTATCCAAATAATACACAAAACAATTAAAGCATAATCATGAATCAGTAAAGAATAAAACAACAATAAAGCACAGAATCGTATGGCCGGACGCACTCTTAGTCAAAAAGTTTTCCTCCTTTAGTGGAAAAGGAATGGTGCCTTTTGCGTCTGGATATACTTAGCAACAGAAGGGCGCCCTGTACGTTGGGCACGAAGTATAGGAAACTTGCATGGTTAAAAAGAAGGGTGCCGCCTACGTTGGGCACAACTTCCGCCTCATTTTTACAATGCGAGAAC